TTGCTCTAATCGGTTGGCAACTCAATTCGATCGGTGCGTTTCCGTTTATGGTACTAATAGGGTTTGGACTTTATGTCCCCTATGTGACCATCCACACCACCGTGTTCGAGCGACTGCTGGCGATGACACGCGAACGGGGCAACCTCGGCTACCTGATGTACCTAGCCGATGCGTTTGGATATCTCGGGTACGTTATCGTGATGTTCGGAAGAAATCTATTTCTGGACCGCCAAGACTTTCTAACGTTTTTTATTCAGATCAGTTGGGTCACACTCGTAACTTCTCTGGTCGGCCTGGGGATCGCGCTGTTCTACTTCGCGAATCACGGACGCATGACGAGCCCAAGTAGCGTCGTTCCTGAGCAAGCGTGATGTTGCAAATGCATCTAACGCCGGCAATTAGTCGGTGAGAAGCTTCTTCCGGAAGTTACGCGGAGTCGTGCCGAACTTCTTTCGGAAAGCAATACCAAACCGGGTTGCATTGCTGAAACCGGAACTAAGTGCAACCTCGGTAATCGATAGATCGCGGTTCAACAGCAACTCTTTGGCACGTTCCAGTTGAACGCGGCGAATTTCTTCTGCCGGAGTGCGTCCTAAGTAAGACTTGAACTGAATCTCCAGACTTCGTCGGGAAAGCGGCACCTCTCGAAGAATATCGTCCACACCGATTCCATGATGCGTATGATTCTGAATGAATCGCAACGCCCGCACGATCATCGGGTCGTCGATCGCCAAGAAGTCGGTGGATTGCCGGCTTGTGACGCCATGAGGAGGAACCAGGATTGGCTCTTGCGGCGCTGGCTTTCCGCCCATCATTTGATGCAACATCGCAGCTGCTTCATAACCGATCCGTTCGCAAGCGAGCGAAACCGCCGAAAGAGGTGGCGTCGAAACTTCGCATAGCAGGTCGTCCGAATCGCCTGCCAAAATCGCAAAGTCATCCGGTACACGAATCGAGGAGAAGTGGCACACTTCGGCAAGTTGGCGTGCATGGTGAGCGTCGACGGCCAAAATCGCNNCCAGCGGTTAACTCGACGTTGGAGTTCTGCCCAGGACATTTTACGTCCTGCCCGATAGCCTGGCCGATAAGTATGGCACTTGTGCCCTCGAAGAGTGACCGCACGCTCGAAAGCTTCGCCACGGCTATTGGAGTATCGATGACTTGGCGGCGCGAAGTACGCGAATTGAGTAAAACCTCGAGCCAAGAGATGCTCAACGGCAAATTCGGCTCGGGCCGTTTCGTCGGTAATGACGCGCCCTACGCCTGGCGTTGGCCCATACACGTCGTCGACGTCCACCGTTGGAATGGAACGCTGCTTAACTTGATCGATCTGCTGACGGGAAGAAAGACGCGCGATAACGCCATCGCCTCGCCAACCGTCTGGCAGTGAAGATCGTTGCTCGTGGTCGCGTGGATCAATCAGCAGATGCCACAGGGCATGCTTGTCGGAATACTGAGCGATCCCACGAATCACACGTCTTCCCCAGCTCGTTTCCGTTTCTACCATCACGGCAACGACTTGAACTTGCAATTTGTCGTGGTGATGTTGCTTATCTTCGGTCATTAACTTTGCAGAAACAAAGGAGCGTCCTGGCCGTTGCTAACTACATCCATTCTAGCCTTCACGAGCCTTTAAATTGCGCAGAAGCGATATTTTTTTACTCTTTTTCTTCGGCCGCAGCGGGAGGGGCTTTCCAGGAAAAACCCACGTAGTAAGCTTGATTCCGATTGAACTACCTTTTCCGGAAACAATTCCCCTCAAAAGAGCGGATCCAGCACCACTTTAGGAACTGCATGGCTGAGAGTCGTCAGCATCGATACACGGTAATCGGCCTCATGAGTGGCAGTTCCGCTAAAGGTGTCGACGCAGCTCTCATCACGACGGATGGCGAGAACTTGGTCGAGTTTCATGGTGGCTTGCGGCATCCGTACGGGGAAGAACTACAGTCTCGAATCTTAGAGGCTTCGCAGCATAACGTTCGGCTCGACGAACTGCTTCGACTTGAGCGCGAGATCACGATTCACCATAGTGACGCCGTTACGGCACTTCAAGAACGGCTCGGTAA